AAACTTTACATATCAATATTTCTGTTGGATATATGTTTCAATTTGGCGAATTGTACCGCAAGCGAGTGTTTTACTCACGATAAAACACGTACGATATCACAGATCGTGGAAAGTGGAATACTTATGTATCAGTTATCGATAAGCTATCTATTCCTTCTTGCGAAATAAACATGTTGCATAGTTTTTACGCCAGTTCTGGCTCAATTAATATTGTTTTTAATTTCTATGTCGTGAATGGAATATAAATTTAGAAGGACTAACATTTAAATAAGTTTAATCTGCTACTTTTTAAAAACTGTCGGTATAAAATCTATACGTCTGTCTATCAGTCGCTATCCTTGCTTAAAATGTTACAAACTACTGTTAAACTTGCTCGTCGGAATCAATAACAATAAATAATGACTTTGAGTTGGGGTTTCATGTATACAAGATTGGACTATAAGATGACATCAAATCGAAAATATTAAGTCCGATAATTTTAGACCAAACGAAAGTTATTGATTTAATGTTGATGCTGACATTATGAACGGTAAGAGTGTTTTCAAATTTGATTGGTTAGATTACATGTGGCGATTTCAACACTAAGATGTGAATCAAATCTAACCTCAATAATGAACGAACGCGGTCACACACTTCTAAGGAACATAGAACATTATATTAATGACTTGAATGATAAGATAACAGCTACCTTGATAGAGGCCCAAATAAATTCTGTCCCAAATCTCGAAAAGATGAAAATTCATCATTGTCAACCGAAGATCGGAAACACTGACAGATATCACAATAGATAAAATGACTTAGCCCTAATGAAAACTAAGAACAACAAATCCCCAGGTGAAGAAAGTGTAATTTCGTGTGATGGATGGAAGATGAACAAAGACTGCTCAAGTGGAGACCGAGAATGGATAAGAGAAGTAGAGGAAAACCATACACACGCTGGACTGACGATATAAAAAAATAACGATAAATTGGATACAGAACGCGAAAGATAGAGAAATCTTGACAAAAATAAGATAGACCTATGTTCAGCAGGAGGCCTATGTTCAACTGTTACGAGCTGGAGGATGATGATGACAAAACGTTTGGCATATCATGGAAAGACCACTTGTTTATTGACGTTCGGTACACTGACAAAAATTATAAGATCAAAGAAGAATTCTTAGTATTTCAAACATTACATAAGCTGAAGGCCTAAACAATAAGCGATCCTAACCACACTATCTGGTTTTCGGTTAGATATGGACAAATTCGTGGGTCTTGGGTTCGAAGGACAGAGTCAAGTTAATGGAGAAAACTACTTCAACACTACAACGTTATCCGAATAAATTCGTGTGTCTTGGGTTCCAAGGATGTGCAACAATATCTGAAGAAGAATTCTGTGTGTAAATAAAAAACTGAAATGAATCACAATAACGCAAACTATTTCCATTTTATATGACACAGATTGAATTTAATTATTAATGAAATGCTCATCTCTGCAAATTCAAAATTGTCTTTCAAGTACTAAGGAAATTGTTAAATTTTTTTAAGAACTTCTAATATATTTTTGTTTTAATAAAGTTTAATAATAAATTTAACTATTTCTTCCATTTTCATCAATGTTATTTAAATTTAAATAAAATTCTTGTTTTTTTGTTTACTTAAGATTGATATTTATTTTTAAAAAAATATGTAAATATATATCCTAAAACGGTTTAAAGAAGTGGCGTTTAGAATTAAGGGTACACGTGTTTCTCAGAGAATTGTTTGGATTTTTATTAAAAATGTAATTAAGTAGTATAAAACCTTCATAAAAATAGTTTAAATGATTCATGTGAGTGTAGTTATTGTTGACTTTAATATGTTTGTTCATCTTAAATGATCTTGACGAGAGCCTCTAAAAATGATTGTAATAAATCGAAACATAATAATAAATAAATATCAATCAAAAAACAAGAATTTTAGACTTTTATAGATACTGTTAAAGCGAAATCCAAAGAAGTCAGCATGACACAATATACATATAAGGGACGTTAAGTCCTCGTTGACCTTTTTACTCGCAACGTGTGGGTGTCACCAGTATAGACGTGAGCTCTACTATAGCAGACCTATCTCGTAAGCATCGAAGTATAAAGCCTAAAACTTAACGCGGTAATATTAGAGCTTTGCACACTCTCGAAATCTTTTGATAACAATGTTGGTCAGTAACTTAAAAGCTTGCGATGCAAACCCCATTTAACGCAATAATGCCGAAAAGAATATTCAAATATTTTGTCGGTTATTTTGTCTTCTAAATAACGCATGTATATGTATGAGAATACTGCTTTTACGGGTTAATTAGAGGAATTTTGTTATTAAGTTACTTTAGTTATTTAATTTAAATTAATTTAATTGTAATATTTTTCTTGCCATGAACATTGTTAATTAATTTGAAATGCAAATTTTGTAATATAGGTGTATTAAACCGAATTTGTTGTGTCTATGTAATTATAATTATTATCTATATTATATCTTAATTATTATCATCTATATTATAATTTGAATTTCTATATTCGTAAGTCAAATTAGTTTCGTTTTTCAAAAAGCCATCATTCAATTTTATTAATTTTATATACTTGAATACAACAATGTTTTTTATGTTCTTTTAGCATTCATTTCGATGTTACCTTTGAAAATTGGATCTGTTGTTTTAATGTGGTACAACAAAATATACCAATCTATGAAATATCGTTATGTCCTTGATATATAAAGTACATACTAATACCGTGTCATCTTAATAATAAAACAATAGATATATAAAATGATACCGTAACTGATGTAATAAAGTACACTCGGCAGCTTGGTTTTGTCGTTCAAACAAAACTATATGCACACAAAATTTAGATTGTGTGCAAAATACGGCCAATTGTTAGTTAAAGATCTATGCAATAAGTAGAAATAATTACAAATTTATTGTAAACTTTGCACCCACTTTAATCAAAATGTCATTTTTGGAGTGCAAAAATGGCGAACAAATCATTGAACCTTTCTTTTTTGAAGAGGTCAAACGCAAAGCAATAACTATTAATGGCTCTCCATTATTAAACATTGACACTTAAACATTACTAAAATACTGGAACATCTAACTGCTTTATTGAGATCAATGCTGATCACTTATAAAACATGTGCAGATTCATGATAGAAAACCTCTGAAATGCAACATCAAATACTCTTTCAAACAACAGAGACATTTTGACACGACTTGCAGAAGAAGTTTGCACAAGCAGAACAAAATATTGTTTACCGTTAGGTATATCATCATCGGCAGGATACTGTCTAAACCTTTCATCAAGTCTCTACAGAGTCAAGTTAATGGAGAAATCCACTTCAAGACTACAACTTTATCCGATCTGTGTCAATACCACATCTATGCGTAAATCAAGTTTAAACCCGTTTAAAATTGTATTAAATCTCTATACAGTCCTTATTAAGTCTGTATTAAATTTTTAAAGTCTGCATTAAATCACCAGTATGCCATGTCATTTGATAGATGCATTAAGTCTGCATGGAGACAACTCCGAATAAAGCCTATATCATCTCTACCTGGTGATCATTGGGAGTGCTGTGTCGGTTTGAACTTAACCCTATGCAGTCTATTTGAGTCGTTCCAATATAAATAATATTCGACCTTATCAATACTACATCTACACTTGCTCAAGATTTTATAAAATCTTTATATAGTCCTTATTAAGTCTATATCAAGTTTCTCAATTCTACATTAAATTTCCAGTATGCAATCTCACTTAATAAAGCATCCAACCTGCATCGAGACAGTTCCATATAAAGTCTATATCATCTCTCATCATCGGTAGGACAGTCTACGTTAGACTAAACTATACTAATAATGAACCAAGAGCCGTTCACGATTATATAAAATTTCCATATAGTGCTTATTAAATCCATATCTATGCCTCAGTATGACATATCACTTGATAGTACATCAAGTTTGCATCAAGACAGCTCCGAATAACGTTTATATCATCTCCACATTGCTATCATTGGCAGGGTAGTGTCTGTTTGGCCTAAAACTTAACTCAGTCTATTTGTCTTGTATCAATTTCAGTTCTAGAAGATCAAATTTTATTTTTTCTGCCATATATTCTTACCATATCTTTTTTCCAGCACGTCTTATGTAGTATGGAGTATTAATTAATGAACACAGAATTCTATTTCTGAATGAGTTCAATGTCATCAAGATTTTGTGGTTTTTCAAGATTTCTACTCCATACGATATCTGCATCGTTATTATGGACTCTGTTATATTTATTTTTGTTTTTGCTGGAACCGCCGATTGTCATCTTATGACGAAACGTAACCTGTTTGCCTTTCTTTTCACTATATTTAGCCTCTTTGCAGCTTAGTTATCGGCGTTCAACTTTCCGTGTCACTTTTCATCTCTATCCGCACCTAGAATTCATCCGACTTCATTTTCTGGACAATTTCAATTTTTTGATTCCAATGTTCTTCACACCATTATTGTGGCTTCTTCGGATACCCACTCTATACGTTAACCGCAGTGTTGTTTTGGATTCCATGGACGTTATCTTAAATGCTGCTGGAAGTCGTTGTTAATCTAATGAAGAATATGACTTGATAGTCGTTCTTTTAGTTTAATATCCCGTTAAATATCACGCACAGGTATATGACCCCCTTTTCAATTCTACCTGCTTCGTGGTATTGAGGAAGCTTGCCTTTCTGGTTTTTTGCATCAAACGCTATCGTTCTGCCAAATACATTCGCGCGCATACATCAATTAACTTAACCTCGATAAGCAAAGATGTATTAAAAAAAGTCATTATGTCGAAATCTCTAGCATTATTTGAAATTCAACAGTTTTGTAAATCCTATTAATGTTAGCTTTGTTATTATTTACAATTATATAGTTCAACATATTAGTATTAAACAGATCACCGGGTTTATATAGTTCAAGTTCATCTATTTCTAACTAAGCACTTTTCATATTTGTTTATTGCATCAAATTAAACAACAAAAAATGTTTTTCAAATATAATAATTTATTATTTCACCAAATGGTAAGCCAAAATCGTCTTAAAATTCACCTAATGGATTGCCTACCCATGGGTAAGTATCTGGACAATATGTACAAGTTTTCATGTAACGCAATTCTGTTCCTTTATACAAAGGACACAAAGTGTTTGAGCACGTAAGTGATTTCTCTGTGACAGTCGTAGCGAATTGGGCACTTGTGACTGGGTTAAACATCCAAGCTATTACTTGTTTATGATCCACAAAGAACACATCCGGGTAATCAACGCGAAGATCATCCATGAACGCTAAGAATCCTGGAAGGTTGTATTCGCTGAATGCAAACCAAGCAGCATTAATATTCAATGTGAGTGGAGCTTTGTTGTTATTGTAATGCCTTTTAAATTGTTCCATTAACCAAGCTTTTACATCGTCGGCAGAATCAGCTCTAGAATTAATTTAAAAAATCAAATAAAAACTCTTCTATAATATATTTTTGTAGTCACTTACTGAATTGAGCAAGCTGCAATTGCGTTACATTCATTATTGGCCATATCAATAAGATCAATAATAGGTAATACCCAAGTTTTAGTGAAGGCATCAGCTGGGGTTGCTCCAATTTGGCTGGGTTGAGTTGCTTTGTAATGCAAACTGAATGGATATAATCTAGTATTACTCCTTAGTACCCAAGAATTATCATAGAGAATACCCGCTCGTTCATAGGCTCTGAATGTTCTGTCACCGTTAATTTCAAATCCTGGAGTACGACCACCTACGATTTCCTCAATTGGAATGCCAGCAAAGGCATTCAAAATCTCTCTTTGTCCAAAGAACTCATCGTACAAAGTATCTTCAGAAGCTTGCTTCCAATAATCGCTTTCGGGGTTCTTACTAATAGAATGAACACCGATATCCATACCTTTGTTGTATAAATCAACTACTCTTGCATAATCGGAGTATTCGTGTGGAACATAGAAAGATGCACCAATTTGAACACCATCGCGGTTAGTGCGTTTTAAAATCTCAACTAAATAAGTAGTATAAATTACATCGGTAACAGCATCATTGAAAGCCAAGGTAATCAACTAAAATATAAAAGAGAAAACTTAGAATGAAGTGGAGAACCTATAGTTGCAAGAACTTACTTGCGGAACATCCGCGAGGGTAATTGGAGGTGTGGAGCCTGAACATCTGCATGTATCTTCAATTTTACAAACTGCTGAGGAACATGGTTCCGCAGCACGTGTATCTGCGGACGCAGAAGCAGCTGCAATTATACAAGCTATCAACAGAAGCACCTTCATCGTTTTAGAACTTCGAAGTACTACTATACTTTCTTATACGAACCGGGCTGATATATATACGGTCTAACAATAAGATTACGCTGATTTAAAACCACTCAAGGAAATACACTCTACACATAAAAAGAAAAAAAAAATTACAACAAAAATAAAGTGGCTAAATAATTCAAAATTAAAATGAAACTTTAATACAAAAATTATTAATATACCGACAATTTAATTGCTTAATCTTGTATAAACAAGAATATATAATTATAACCTAGTTTTTTTTTTGGTTTTTTTATCAAATTTCTTATCTAAATCTCATCTTAATCAAATTCGATTCTTGGAACTGATGTTTATTTTTCAATTACATTTGGAGAGTCATACAGATAACATGTTCAAACCGGCGCGGCGCGGCGTTTTAATCGAATTGGAAACGTTGACAGATCAATATCTGTACAACAAAACAATTTTATATTTAATAAATTTAAGTGAATTCAATTAAAATTATATTGGAAGAGGGTGAAAAAAGATGAATAATAAAATGAAATTTATTTAATTATGTCAATCTCGAAAAGAATTTAATAATAGAAAACGGGGCGATATAAAACGCACTTAAAACGTCATGTAAAAAAATGACCGGGACAAAATAAAATTGTCGTAAAAGGCGCCAATAAACCTCAAAGAGAATTTTTATTAACAAGTTTCTTAAAACGGCTTTGTCATCAAATGTAAATTAACCAAAAAAAGTTATTTGATAAAAGTATTTTTTAAATCAATTCTGTGGGGTATAAATAATGTTCTTCCGTATGCGGTTTGGTCACGTGAGAGCGGTTCTTTAGGTGGTCTTTAAAATGGTCGATAAAATTTAGTTGGTGGCGGGTTCAAAATTAATGTCATTGCCGCCTACCACGTTTATACGGAACTAGTGTAAACGTGCAACGAGCTGAAATGTTCTGAAATCACGTGATAATCTTTGTACTGTAAAACCGCGATATAACGGACTTCGGATATAACGAACAAAATATTTTTAAGTCATATTATTAATATTATCTATTTAATACATCAGTATATTTAAATATAAACGTTATCGTTCATAGATAGAATCCAACTCGGGTTATTCCCCAAGTTGCTTTATTCCATGTTCATAGATAAACTTGATTGATTTGTAGATCAAGGACGGTAGTTGTAGTTTTAATTGTTATTTAGCGCTAGATTGTTGTATATTTTTACTGAATTAAAAGTAAAACTAACACTAGACCTAGAATTAGAAATATTCGGGTTTTCGGGTCTTAAGAGAGGAACAGCTAAACCCGAATATTTCTAGTTCTAGGTCTAATGTTAGTTCTAGTTTTAATTGTTATTCAGCACTAGATTATTGTATATTTTTATTGAACTAACGTCTCTTAAGTACGTCTCTTAAGACAGCTAAACCTGAATGCTTCTAGTTCTGGGTCTAGTGTTAGTTCTAATTTTAGCTGTTATTCAGCGTTAGATTATTATATTTTTCATTGAATTAAAACTAGAATTAACACTAGACCTAGAACTAGAAACTTTCGGGCTTCACCATCTTAAGAGCCGTATGTCTCTTACACCGTGTTTTCATTAGTAGGATTAGCGGTAGAGTATATTGGGAATTCTCCTAATGAAAACGTAAGTGGTAGGGTAGAGCAGTTGGTTGTAGTAGAGTAAAGTGATATAGCACCGTGGTAAAGTTACTCTACATGGTGAATCAGAAAGAATGGGAAATCCGAATACCGCAGACACTTTTGACCTTTCTGATTTCAAAGGTCATAATAACAACAAAATTTTAAATAAAATAAATGTCTACTTTGCTAATATAGTGGTAAAAAAAAACTATAGAAGCAAATGTACAGAATACTGTTAAATCGAATATTTAGACTCTACTTAATAGATCACATAGAAGTAAAATCAATTGTATGTCTTTGAATAATGCAAACACACATGCAGTGGGTTATGATGAACTTCCAATCTCTGTTCTAAAAAAATGCGGTGGTGAAATTGGAGAACCCAATTTCTGAATTCAATTCAGCAATATTTTCAATGAAACTGAAAAAAAAAGCTATAGTAATACCAATTTATAAAAAAGAAAATAAATCAGATTTTACAAATTACTGACCAATTGCACTAAATCCTCATTTTGAGAAGCTTGTCCTGAAAAGACTAAAAATTACGTTACCAAGAACCAAATACTTAACCAGTCCCAAAACGGTTATATAAAAGGCAGATCTGTAACCAGAGCAGTTTTCCAGTTATTAGAACGAATTCAAACTGGAATTAATAACAATGATCTTACCAGTTGTATAATGATGGACCCAGAGCTGGGCAGTACCCGGGTAAAAATACTCAAAAATGTACTCCGACAACATTTTGGAGTACCCAATACCCGGTACCTAGTACATTGGAATCAATTGTACTCTGTACCCGGTTCGTCAAATACTCTCTATTAGTACACGATATCCGCATCACATATTTGAGTAGATTATTCTCGGATACTTGAACAAGTTTGAGCTTGTCTGAATTTGCAGAGTTTACTCGCCGCTCAGCGCTTAAACAGGTTTGTATTTCTTTCGTCTTATTAGTTTATTACTTAAGTAACATTGAAAAGTGCAAAAACACTCCGATGCTGGACGGAACATTTTTCTTGGTTGAAACGAGTGGCAAGAATTCGCATGTCGAAGCTCTATGCCAGTTATGTCTTCCTTCAAAAAAGATTATTAAGGACTCGCCGAAAGTACGATAAATTTTGTTAAGCACCTAAAAAGAGTGCATGGAAGCAAATCCTACGATGACTATCTCAAACATAAAGAAAAATTAAAAGACTGCAAAAGCAAGTTAAACTCCAACTTCAAGAATTGGTCTAGCAGGTACAAAATCCAAATAAGGAAAATTGAGTATTATGAATCGAAAAAGTGTGGTTACGCAGAAGGAGTTTGAAAAAGAATAGCGTGAAACTAACACGTTATGAATACCTCTCAACCTGTCACTGAAAAGAAAGCAGTAAACACATCAAAAATTGAGCTAGAGCTATACAAATATCTTGAGGAGCGGAATAAATAGCTGGAACGATTACCTAATATTAAAAAAGGCCAATAAAGTAACGCAATAAGATAACACTTATCAACTGGCAGTTTTAGGATTCCTTCTTTAACATTAACTAAATAACTAACTTAAATTAATTATTTTTGTAGAATATTTTATTTATTTTGTTTTTGCATAAACCAAACATAAATTTTAGCCAAATGTACTTTTTAAAAGTACCCGAAAAGTGCAGGTACTTGAACTCCGGGTACTGTACTCTGAGTGTCCACCATGACATCTTATTGAAGAAGTTGGAAGCTATAGGGATACGAGGACTTCCTCTGGAGTGGTTCAGATCTTACTTGTCAGAAAGAGAGCAGCGGGTGGTATCGTATGATCAAACTGGTGCTGAAGTTACTTCAGACTGGCCAAAGGTTTTGTGAGGCGTCCCACAAGGATCAATATTGGGACCTTTCCTCTTTATCCTATACATCAATAATCTTCCAGAAGTGATAGAGGATCTACTAATCCTTCTTGCTGATGACTCCACTGCAGTATTAACTACAAAAACTGAGATACAAGTGTCAGAATTGATTCGGCTCAATCTAGGTAAACTGCAAACTTGGTTTTCAAATAACAACTTACAACTAAACTTACAAAAAAAACGTTATAACAATAGGAACTGTTACAAAAAAGAAAACGAATTAGATCTAATATTCAATGGTACAAAACTTACTTGCAGGGAAGAGGTTGTGTTTGTGGGGGTTAAGATTGATCATCATCTTTCACGGAAACAACATATAAACGATCTTACCATGAAGATAAATAAATCGTGTTACGCGCTATGGACTATTTCGCGGTTGGTGAGTGTGAATGTAGCTTTAAGAACGTATTACGCATGCGTTGAGTCGCGCCTAAGGTATGGTATAATGTTCTGGATCCACTCGGCGGACGTTGATCGCATGTTCATAACCCAAAAGAAGTGTATCAGGGCAGTATTTGGAAAAATTGTGAAATATTTGCAAAACGTACAATGTATCGGTCGTTTTCCGGATGAGTTGAAAAAGACAATAATAATCCCAATCTATAAAAAAGGAGACAAGTTCTGCTATGATAAGTATCGTCCAATAGCACTCATATCGAATCTTGCAAAAATTTATGAGAAGCTTGTACACAACAGAATTATAAATTATTTAAACAATTATAATATATTGCACGAGAATTAAAATGGTTTTCGGAAGGGAAGATCCACTGAACTTGCGATGTTTCAACTGTTGGAAAATATTATCTTGGGATTAAATGGAAAACAGACCACAACAGTATTGTTCGTGGATCTTACAAAGGTTTTTAATAGTGTACATCATTCAATTCTATTGACCAAGTTGGAGACTGTTGGCTTTAGAGGTGTTAGGTGGTCATGGATGAAATCCTGTCTATCAGGAGGTTACAATATGTAGTTGCCCACAATGAACAGGAAACAGAAATAAGATCAGCTTGGAGGGAAGTCAAGCTAGGAATACCTCAGGATTCCATATTGGGTCCTCTATTATTCCTCCTGTATGGGAATGACCTACCACGAGTAACGAACAACATTACGATAATGTTTGCGGATGATACAACGACTGTGGCGAGGTGTAGCACTGATTATGAAATCCAGAATTCACTTACTGTGGCTCTGAATAAACTTGCGTATTGGTTTGAAGCGCATAACATAAAGTTAAGTACAAAAAAACGAAAATTGTTGATTATCACTTATGCCCTGACCAGATGACGGTGAGGTATCGGGATAGTGAGATTGCCAGTGTTGAAGAGATTTCGTTTCTAGGTTGGTAAATAAATCCTGGATTGTCTTGGACCAATCATATTGATTTCCTTGCTGGCAAGATCAGTCATTTCTCATATGCCATTCGGATTATTTCCAGATCAGCTGGCATTGAGGTAGCATTAAATGCCTATGTTCATTCCTTGCTAAGATATGGAGTTGTCTTTTGGGGCCGTGGTGTTGGTATAGATAGAATCTTCATACAGAAGAGGTGTGTGAGAGCAATCTTTGGTCTAAAAAATACTGATAGCTGTAGAAGTTACTTTAAAGACTATAAAATACCTACCTTGTATGAAATTTATATTCTGAAATGTGCCGTATTGGTTAGGAAGAATTACTTTACATTTTTCAAAAAGTATGAAATATCACATGATCGAGACACACGCGGGAAGATGAACTGCTGCCTGGTGCCACCAAAAACGCACCTTACTAAGATTCAGAAGACGGCTCTGTACCAGTATCAAGATGTACAATCACATTTCGGAAGGTACAAGGATCTTGCCAATTCCAAGATTCCGGAGAAGACTGAGAGATATTGTCACGGAAAATCCGATATGGACCATTGACATGTTTTTCCAATTTAATGTTTGAATTCAATTTGTATTATATTACAATGTAATTATTGTTAAATTGACGTACTCTATGCTTTTTTATAAAATGCAGAAATAAAGTATTATTATTATCTTTTTCTTGTTAAGTTTTCTGTGCTTTGGACCGATTTAACCTAACATCTCTTATACAAATGTCCGTGGTTTTCGAGGCACACTTGTTTTGTGATTGCTCGTAGAGGGCGCTAGATACTCCTGCTCGTTTGATAAATCAAGTCATGATTATTTTGTCAGTTGAGGTATGGTGAATTAGAACCACAAATCCGGAAGAGCTTTTAATTCTACACAAAAAGGTAGTCTTGCTTAAATTGTCTAAGTCTACTGGTTTCCAAGTTATCTGCTATTAATTGTTTCAAAGTAATTTTTTTTAAGTTAACATTTAAAATCATTATCACACAGTAACTATAATAATCGATAACAATAACAATTAATTAATAACAATAGAATTTAAAGTAAATTTCACATTTTACAATTCGCTTCTATTCGTACGCAAGCCCGAATATGTCTAGTTGTAGGTCTAGTATTAGTTCTAATGCTAGTGTTTAGATGCACGGCTAAACCCGAAACATTCTAGTTCTAGGTCTAGTGCTAGTTCTAGTTTTAGTTGCTATTCAGTAAATAACGCTATATAATCTTAGGGTACGACTAGAAAATCTAGAGTTTAGAATTAAGAATTATTTAGAGAGCCACTGCGCGTTGATGGGTAGAATATAATATATTGATATTCTTTTTAATGTTACATAGTAACGTCTTAAGAAATGTACTCTGTAAACCCGAATGCTTCTAGTTCTAGGTCTACTGTTAGTTCTTGTTTTAATTGTTATTCAGTATTAGATTGTTGTATATTTTTCATTGAACTAAAACTATAACTATTTTTGGCTATAGTGGACACTCCTTTCCCCGTATTAATCCGTGATATCCAGAGTTTACTGTATTTTTAATAGCAATTTAGGACTTAAAACAAAGACATTTTAAGATATAGTTTTTAAGAGATTTATTAATATTTTAATAAAATGGGATTATATTAATTACGGATTTTCGGGATCAACTGGTTCTTCAGTTGGTTCCTCAGTTGGTTCTTCAGTTGGTTCTTCAGTTGGTTCTTCAGTTGGTTCTTCAGTTGGTTCTTCAGTGGGTTCTTCAGTTTCTCCTAATGGGTTACCAACCCATGGATATTCATCGGGACAAGTAGCAACGCACACCCTCATATATCTGGTTTCTTCTCCATGGAGTAGAGGACACGTTTTACTTTCACATGCGGCATTTCTTTCGGATGTATTGGGAACGTATTCACCGAGAGGTTGAGGATTTTTAGACCAAGTTAATAATTGTTGATGAGAAATAAAGTACACATCATCCATTCCGTCAAGTTGGTCGAGGAAATCAATGAATCCTTGTTCATTGTAATCTCCAGCCAAAAACCAAGCTGAATTAATGGTTAATGTCATTGGAGATTTATTTCCTTGATAATGACTATTGAATTGTCCCATCAACCAATTAGTAACATCAGCTGCCGATTCAGCTCTAAATTTATTTAAAATTTATTAATAATTATGGTTTAAAAATGTTTTTTTAACTTACTCAACTACGCATCCAAGAAGAGAATTACATTGGTTATCGTTGGTGCCAGTAAGATCAATAATTGGAAGTACCCACGTTCCAGGGAAAGATTCTTTTGGACATTTACCAATAAGGCATGGTTGTTCAGATAAACAATCTAATGAATACGGAAAATAGCGATTGTTGGAGTGAGCAGTCCAAGAATTATCATACTGGATACCAGCTTGTTGGTATGCTTCAAAGGTGATGTCTCCGTTTAATTCTAAATTAGGTGTTCTAGCACCAATTACATCTTCAATTGGAATGTTGGCAAACTTCGAGCAAATTTGTCTTTGGCCGTAGAATTCGTCGTAAAGTAATTGCGCATCGGCTTCTTGCCAATAACTGGATAATGGGTTCTTAGTGATAGAATGAACGGCTATTTCAAAGCCTAAATTGTAAAGGTTGTTCACTTTTTCGTAATCGGTATATTCGTGTGGTACGAAGAATGTAACTCCGATTCTACTTCCATCGGGGTTTGTGCGACCGAAAAGATGTGGTTCCAAGTATTGATTGTAAATTCCATCGGTAACAGCATCGTTATAAGCTAAGATAATGAACTAAATCGAAATATTTTTGATATCTATTTATTAGTAAACTTTTTAATTTTTCTACGTACTTGAGGAGTTTCTTCAACCGGTAATGGTGATTTCTTTTCAGCACATCTACATCCTTCAGCGGCGAGACAATTATCTTCTTGATGACACGTCTCGGCGATTTTTTGATTCGCCAACGCGCCGACGACCGCACAAAATAATATAATGGTAGCCTTCATTTCTAAGTCACTTACTGAGCATCGAACGTTAGTTCTCATCTATTTATCTAAGTTTTTATAATAGAAAAAACTGTGAAATAAACACTTCAAACATATTTTTTCTAAGATAAGAAAAATAAGTAATACATCAAACCTCGTGCGAATGATTGCGGTTTGATAACAAATAATCCATTATATTTTTATGAATTAAACTACTTCAAGTTTATTCTAGGAAGATTAAAATAAAAAAATTTCAATTCAGCTTTATATATTTTTGTGTATAATTATATTTTATTATGAAATAAAATAAAAATGCAATAAAATCTTCTAACAATTATTAGATGCCTCGGTGATTATTTCTCCTAAAGGATTTCCAACCCATGGATACACAGCAGGACAGACAGTACAACTCCTCATATACCTTATCTCGTCACCTTTCTGCAACTCACACATAATTGGTGAACAAGATGCGCTATCATTAGGAGGAGGTCTAGAGTATCTGTTAAAAGGAACTGGGTTTGCATTCCAATCTTGGACTTCTTTATGGGAAACCATGTAAACGTCTTCATATTTTTCTAATTCGGTTAGAAACAGTTTGAAACCTTTATAGTTATGCTCGCCTACTTCAAAGAAATTCGCATCAATGTTCAATGTTATTGGAGCCCTTTGGTAAGTGTAATGTCTTTGAAATTGTTCCATAAGCCAATTCTTCACGTCTTCAGGACTTTCAGCACTAAAAGAAAATACATTGGAAAATGTATTAAGCATTTCTTTTGGACTTACTCTGTTATGCAAGTAGATAAAGCATTGCAGACAGCTCCCGTTTTACTAACATGGTCAATCATGGGAAGTACCCACATCCCCGGAAAAGAACCAGTAGGACAAACACCAATTGGACACATTTGTAGAGATTTATAGTCTAAGGTGTATGGGAAAAAACGGTTATAATGTACAGTAGGCCATGAATTATCATATAGAATTCCAGATTTTTTATAAGCACTAAATGTTGTATCTCCATTAATAGCCAAATTTGGCGTTCTTGCACCCACGATCTTTTCAAATGGAATATTTGCAAATTTAGAAATCAAAATTCTTTGGCCATTAAATTCTTCAACAAGTGTATCTTCGTTAGCTTCTTGCCAATAACTTGTCAAAGGGTTTCTACTAATGGAATGTACAGCTATTTCAGCACCACTGTTATACAAACGATTTACAAGGTCATAATCGGTGTATTCATGAGGTATGTAAAATGTTGCTCCAACTTTAGAACCATCGGCATTTTTGAAATCTAGTAAATATTTATAATAAAAGTGGTAATTTCGTTCATTTATTGCTTCGTTAAAGGCCAATGTTACAAACTAAAAAGAAAAGTTAATATCGATAGTTATTTTAGAAAATCGATGATTATTACCTGCGGTGTTTGACTTTGATCAATCGGTGAATCCCAAGAACTACATTTGCAACCATCTGTAATTAAACAGTTGGTTAAAGAGCATCGTTCAGCTTCAGATTGTTCTGAATACGGAACGGCTAGAGTAGCCAAAAGTACAATTATTGCAATGAACGACTTCATTATGCTATTTGATGTCCAAAAAGTAACTGTTTTTATACTCGGATAACCGACAAAGATGTTATCAAGAGGATATTAAATTTATAAGATGGAGTTTTTATCGCATATTACCATCCAATTAAATTATAGCATGAGAATGGGAAATCACTTATTGATGTGTTCATCTTTATTAAAAAATAAATGGGATTAAATTTGTTGTTAGTATGGAACGAAATTAAGTGTGTCAATTAAAGTGCGCAAAAAAATAGTAAATTCACTAGTAATAGAATTAAAAATAGTTTACAAAACTAACGATTAATTTATATCTGGCTTAAATCACTAAAGGTTAACGGAAACTAAGATATTTTCCACTGAATCACTTAGTGTTATGCCATTGAACAAGGTCAAATGGTTTTATCCATTTAAGTCGTCTACTAATATTCCATACGTTAAGGGGGTAGCCACCTTAGCGTACATTTGTACTAAAGAGTATTTTCTTCTTCTGCAGCTAATCCGTTTGATAATAACCTTCTGTGAGCTTCTGTAGTCTCATCGGTCATGGAGCGCTCAGCTTGGGCAATGCGACGTGAGTACGTTTTGTGGCAAAATTTAAAGCACAATCTTCCAATTGTTAATTTTAGTACTTGCATTATTTACATAATACTTGTAAGATCATCATTAAAATTGCAAGGAGCAATATCGGACATAATGCCAACTATTTTCTTGCCACTACGAATTGTTTTTTGGTGCTATAGATCATAAAACAGCGTTGTAACTTTAAGTGCTGTTATTTTTACTTTTAATACATTTTACCTTTTTTAACAGTAAGGTCAGAATTTCCTGAGACCCCCTTACGGCATACCGTTGAAGAAGTCTGAAGTTGACGTAGTTTTGAAATCTCCTTTGAGGATAAGAACCAATTGAAACTAATTATTGGAGATTAATTTGAAAAGTAGAAGTTTATTCTTCTTTATTTATTAGCGCTGATTTATTTTGTAATACGCTCAAGGCCGTATTGGCACGGCAGTATGATTTTAATAACAATAATAATAATTTATTTAATCACCTGGCTACAAATAGTAGATGTGACAAGTTCAAACCACATACAATATATAATACACAACATACACAATATCCAACAAAGAAAGAGAGAGAATAAATTATGAAGTATAACCTATGTTAGTTGACTAGGACTAATATTAAAATTTAATTGCAAATATTCCTGGCGGTCGTAAAACGCCGTTTCTACAAGCATCATTTTTACTTTATGTATAAATGAGCTAAGCGTATCAGCTTTTATAATTGCAGATGGCAAATTATTATAGAGCTTTGGGAAATCATACAGTAATGGGCCTAGTTACTCGGCCCAGTAATAAATATATGTGGACTCTTTTCAAAGAAAGCCGTATTATGATGACCCAAGCACACCAAACTGTCAGTTCTAGTATCGTAATTGTTCATGCTCCCGCACATGAACAACTGATTAATATATATATATATATACTTTGAAGAGTAAGAAGCGAATTGGCCTTGAATGTATCTCTACGCAAATCTCTGCAGTTCAGTTCAAAGATTAATTTTATAATGTGCTTCTGCGCAACAAAGGCACGCCGCCACTCCGTCGATCTTTCCCACAATAATATATTGTATGAGAGATGCGAATAACAAAGAGCATAATACGCATCTAATAATCCCGATAGCGGCAGACATCCCTTCAATTTCAGAATTGCATAAAAGGAAGAGTTCAATTTCAAAACCAGATGATCAAGATGTTTGTTAAAACTTAACTGCTCGTCTAGATAAACACCCAAAAACTTGCACCTATTCGACTCTTATGAAAATTTACAAACACGGTCTTCTTTAGATTAAGAACAATACGATTTTGTTTGCACCAAGCATCAAATGACTCAACGGTATGCTTGACTTTAGATAAAAGCATATCAGCATCATTCGACGCCAGGGCAATTGACGTATCATCGGCATACATGACTATGAGGACATCGGAAAGACACTCAGGAAGATCATTTATCTACAATAGAAAAATTAATGGGGTCAAGATTGAGCTCTGGGGAACTCCCTGTAAAACATTTGATTCCGATGACTCCTGACCAGAGAGGACCACTTTTATTTTTCGTTCCTCCAGAAATGATTGAAGCCAGTTTAAAATCGTGCCTCGCAAACCCAAAGCATACAATTTCTGTATGATGTACACTAGTGGTAGTGAATCAAACGCACGCGACATGTCGAAGAACAGACCCACAGCGAAATCCCCTTTATCCAGGTTATCGTAGATGAACTCAATAAAATTCAATGACACAGTCTCTGTAGATTACTAACAACATTAAACCTGTCCAGAAAACTCAAAATTCGCACCGAGACGATGTTTTCAAATATCTTTGAAAAAACGCTAGTTATCGCTATTGGTCTGAAATTGTTGACATTTGTAGGATCACCAGCCTTGAAAACTGGAACGACCCGAGCAATTTTCAACGCCCTGGGAAAGATTCCAGAACGAACAGAAAAATTAAATACATGTTTAAGGGGCTCGACCAGACAAGACGCTACATACTTCATTACACTCAACCGATGTCATCGCAACCCGTCGAACGTACGTTTTTTAAGCGCTTGATAGCCCCTAGAATTTCTTCGGAGGATATGGTATACAAAAATATGCTATTGGGTACAGAGCTACCAACCGTGCAAGATACATCTCTCATCGTGCCATAAATCAACTCTACCTTCTCCTCAACAGATGTTGTGAAAAACGTTGAAAATGTTGAGCAGATCTGCGCAGTGTCGCTAATCATGTGACCATCATCCGAACGCAACAGAAAACTAGTTTGCTTCCTTCCTTTACCCATTTGGTTATTTACACAATGCCACACTGCGCGACTTCTATTCGATAACTCAATTATTTGTTCACTAGTATGGTTCTTTTTAGTTTCATTAATTAGTTTTCTATATGAACCCTTCTTAACATTATACAAGTTACGCAACTCCGGACAACCGTTGCTCATAATCCAAAACATGTCTTTAAACTCCCTGCCAGCACTTATTATATCATTTGTAATTCAGGGAGCTCTATTACAACCACCATTCAGTAAAACATAAATACATTCAAACAACGGTCATAAGAGTCGGATTGAATATTTAAACAGAAATCCGACCAATCATAATCACGTAATTGCAAATATAACTTAGCAAGATTCGAATTTGACAACACACGGCGCCACTATCTCCACATCAATTACCGGCTCAAAAAGAACCTCGAGCGAACAAGCCATGTGATCCGTTATAATAAGATCAAAAACGGTAAATGTGCAGAAACGCGCCGGTAAATTAGTAAATATATAATCCAAAGTTGAATTGGCTTTGCGGTTGTTTTTGTCAATAACTATGCGCGTTGGCTCGCTCGTTTGACCGCGTACCAAATGAGCTCAAAATATTTTTCAAAAGATCGGATTCCCTATTGAATTTATTAATGTCAATGTTAAAATCACCGCACAGAACAATGTTTTGGAATTTTAAGAATAAAGAACAAAGTAACGCAGACAGGTTAGCAACAAACGTCTCAATCGAGCCCAGTAGGGGCCTATAGAGACAAACGCATACAACATCTTTAGCCATAAATTTAACACGTGCGCCACATACTTCAAACGACATTTCCGATGAAAAACTTTCAACATTGATTAACGATCGATATGGTCAACCCGTTTCTGGCAAGTATTAAGGACCCTCCGTGGGATCTTACAGAACGAAAATAGCCAGTTACAAAATCATAATGACGCATGTTTATGACATCACGCGCTGCTGTCACGCTACTTTGATTGTAGTATTTGAAGAAATAAGGAACGAATAATAAAATCTACTGTATCCGAATTCTTCTTAAGTTACCCTATCTAAGTGTTTGAATTGATGTGCAATCTTTTGGATTTAATTGAAATAAAATTAAGTATTTTATTCCACTTAACACTAGTTGTAAAATTACAGTTATGTAACTGCTGAATATAATGGTTTTTTAAATGAGATAGTAATTAAGTAGTAAACACGTAGTATTAAGTAGTGTGAGTGACCGAACTGATTTAAGCGTGGTCAGCATTTGAACATTAATAAGACTGAATGAACAAAATTAATAGCTAGAAATAGATTTTGTTAATTAACCATATATTTCACTTACCCTTACAAAGAGACATTTCATGGCGATCCTGCCATTGAAGTATTGAAAATAATAAAACTTTATTAAACAGAAAAATGGCATACAAGAACCAACTAAACGAAAAACAAGCAGAAGAAGTGATGGGTTCAACAAATACCAAAGAACCAGTCAAGAAATATGGATAACACAATATTGTGAGTGTTGTAGTGTTATGTTTTCTTATTCCGGGTTATTGTGATACATGTATATTTGTGCAAAATGGTGCTTAGAAGCCAAGATCATGAGAGAAATCGTAAGGAGATGAGATGTTTAATGTAAGTGTCTATGTTTAAATATAATGTTTGAAAAGTTGTTAAAAGATATTGAAAAATGTAATATAAATCTTATTAAGGACAGTAAATTCAACTTATTTTACACCAGAAAATTTAATGGTAGACATGAGATTACACCTGTTAATTAAAAAATCAGCAGCATCCATTCAATTACATAATTCTAAACAAAACGATAACTCAATTGAAGCCTACGAAAGACAAGTAGAGGAATTGATGGTGAATTTAACAATTTATCAAGCCAATGGTGATCCATACTAAAGTATACCAGTGTTCCTTTTCTGCACAGAGCACATTTGTGAACAAATTTTTTACCACACATTTAACAATTTAATGTTATTCATCTTATGTGCAAGACGAACTAGTAATCTGCCTATTAAAGCTATGTAATGTGATTGTTACTCCGCTCCAAAAAAAATAAGAAAATCTACCAACATTCTTACGTTCAGTCTGGTTTTACCCGGTGAGTATTTCTCAATTTAAAGATTGTTTATGTCTCTGTTTAAAATAACACTATGGAATACAAAAACAGAAATTCACATACTGTTGGAAATTAATTTATTTTATGAGATATGCAATAACAATAAAATTAAAACGTAGTCAAAAGGCGACGTTCAGATGAGATGGTTGCTTAGACTCAACAACTCTTCGACAAAAAATTGTGTATGCCAATACTCTCTGATTAATTTTATTTGACCACTCAATTTCATCCACTTTTTATACAAACCCCATATACTCATTTTGCACGCTATATAACCTTGCTGCAACAGCAGCAATTAAATAAGGGTCGTATATCACATGGTACCCAATACAAGATGTCCATATAGGTCCATACTAGGGTCGTACATACAAAATATACATTTCAGAGATAGTGTTGTAATCATGCAAAAATTCGACCTAAAGGTTTTAATAAATATATGTTTCTAGATTTCTTTCAGTAAGATGTCTTCTTCTTTCTTTTTAGTATTTTTTGTAATTGAGTGGTCTTTCCAGATCTTAGATAGTCTACTCATTGCACTTTTATTTTTTGCCAGTTCCTTCTTCGAATGTCTCTCTCACTTGAATCTGTTTTATCAATATACGAGTCTAGGTACACATCTAGTCTACGACTTGAAATCTGTGTGGGGCATCCGTTAGTTGCAGAACATCAGAACTATCAACGATCATAATTTTGGTGTCTGGTCTCTGGTTTCAGTCTCAACTCGGTTTAGAAGGTCCACCATTTCCTCTTCTTATACAGCTATCAAAATTGTATCGTTGGCATATCTCAGAGTGAAGTCTCTAGGTTGAATGATATTGTTAGAAAACAGTTATTTATAACAAAGTCTGGCAAGTTGTCTATTGCACGCGAGGAACATTACCTTTAAGTTCCGAGCTTAGCAAGTCGACTCTACGAAAATTTTTCGTAAAACTAAAATAATTGTTATTTAAAAAACCACAAAACTTTGTTTTAATTTGTTTAAAAAGGCATTATTCAAAAAACACAACACGTTGTAATTAGTCTTAACGGTATCAAATTGAAATGTCATGTTTTTAAAATAAAAAATGCAATAACAACAACATCCATTATTCAACAACTTGTTTATTTATATAGTAATTTGATTATAATATTTATTTATATACAGATTATCTCATATTTAAAAAAATCATTTAATAAAAATAACTAACAACCACTGTTTAATATTCGAATAATCACTAGATATATCAACTGGTGATACAGATGGATTAATCGGCTGAACAGCTGGTTTATTAGTAAATTCTTGTTGTGGTTCAGTGGTTTCTTCAGTTGGTGCATCCGTTGGCGTATCCGTTGGTTCATCTGTTGGTTCATCTGTAGGTGCATCTGTAGGTGCATCTGTTGGTTCATCTGTTGGTTCATCTGTAGGTTCATCTGTTGGTTCATCTGTAGGTTCATCAGTAGGTTCAGGTTCTTTTTCGCCCAAAGGATTTCCAACCCAAGGATATACTTCTGGACACGCAGAACAACTCTTCATGTATCTTCGTTCTTCGTCTTTTACTAATTCACATACCACCGGAGAACAAGAGGCGCTATTATCGGTGGAGGTTCTAATGTATTCACCCAAAGGAACAGGATTAGCACTCCAATCTCGAACTTCTTTATGGGAAACCACGAAAACGTCGTTGAAATTTCTTAATTCATCAAGGAACGCTTCGAAACCTGGATAATTGAATTCGCTGATTTCAAAGAAAGCTGAGTTAACGTTGAATGTAATCGGTGATCTTTCACTTGAATAATGTCTTTCGAATTGTTCCAAGAGCCAATTTTTGACGTCGTCTGGACTTTCAGCACTAAAAAAGGATTAAGTTAATTACCTTATTAAATTATTGCATTAAACAATTTTCGACTTACTTTATAGAACATCCAGCAAGGGCATTACATTGATGCGAATTTGAATCAACCTGAGATATCATCGGAAGCACCCACATTCCAGGAAAAGATTCAGTTGGACAAACACCAATTTGACATGGTTGCTGAGATTTAAAATCTAAAGTGTAAGGGAAATAACGATCAGTACTTAAAGCACTCCACGAATTATCGTATTGAATTCCAGATCTTTTGTAAGCACTGAATGTGGTATCTCCGTTTATTGCTAAATTTGGTGTTCTCGCTCCGATGATATCATCAATTGGAATGTTGGCGAATTGAGAAACCACAATTCTTTGTCCATTGAATTCATCGAAGAGCAAATCTTCAGAAGCTTCTTGCCAATAACTCGTCAGAGGATTTTTACTAATTGAATGTACAGCTATTTCAAAATTGTTATTATATAAATTATTCACGCGTTCGTAATCGGTATATTCATGTGGTACGTAAAATGTTGCTCCAATTTGAGTACCATCAGCATTTGTTCGGCCTACCAATAATGGGTTGAGGTACATTTCGTAAATCGCATTTGTTACAGCGTCGTTAAATGCTAACGTAACGAACTTGAAATAAAGATTTAAAAGAAAAGTTATTGGAGATAATTAATAATAAAGTTAAGTTGATAATCAATTACCTGCGGTGTTTGTTCTTTTTCAATTGGTGAATCCATGGAACTGCATTGGCAACCGTTTTCGATCAAACAAACGGTTGAAGTACATTGTTCAGCAGCGAATGGATAGGGATATGAGAAGGCTAAAGAAGCCAAAAGTACAATTGAAAGGAAGTATTTCATTTTGATGTTTTATGTTGTGGTCAAAAAAAATCGCTCTGTTATATATATACATACACAAATGACCGCTGGAATCAGATAATTGATAAAAATACGATTTTTCATTTATTAGATGGCATTTTTATCGTGTTATGACCGGATCCTCTAACATAATCGATTATCTTATTAAAAAGTATTTCATTGCGGGGTAATTCATTAAATAAACGCGCGATTGAACATGTCCGAAAGGTATTTCTATTAGTCATCACATTTTCGATGGGCAATTAGCTTTACGTTTACGAGCGAAAATTTCTCTTTCGTAATAGCAAACTGCGAATCGATTGGTAACCCTTCCTTGGCCCTTCTAACTCCATTTGGCGCCGGTAATGGCAACAGTAATAACGATTTTAAGTAATAACCGCGAAATAGGGACCGTATAATTCGGATGTGCGGGGAGACAGCGAGCAGACTGGCGAATTGCGCTGCGAGACGTAACATTTCTATGCAAATGAGCGTGTCAGAGAGTGTCAGAGCGGCAGCCACCCCCCATGGTTGGCGGTAGTAGCAACGGTCCCTAGCTTGCAGCCGGCCATAAAGCCGCAAATATGCCGAGAAATGTTGGAGAAAACCGCTAAATGTCGGACTGCGCCGGTCCACGCTAAAGAGGCGACCTCCTTCGAATAATTGCGGCAATATTATTTGGAGACGTTTGCGCGTTTAATGAGGAGGAAATTGGATTTCTTCTCGTAAGAATTTCCATTTTAAAGATGGGGTGTTGAACCTATTACGGAATTAAATACCAAATTTTGGATAAAACAAACGGTTTCCAAATTAATAACACACTTGAAATAACAATTTAAAAAATTAAAAACGTAATACTTTAATACCACATAAAAAATTAAATCATAAAGTCGTTTCATCATCTATATTTCGGGTGTTATTCGCTGCAAATGTTTATTGATCTTATCAAATTGATAAGTAAAAAATACATTACATACAGGTGAGTATCATCAAAATGTTTAGAAAAATTAACTTAGCACTCAAGTCGATTGATAAGCCGCTGTCAGCACATTATTAAAAAAAATATATTTTAATTGTGAAACCGATCGTCAGGATAAAAGTGTGTTTCCGCTGATTGATAAAAAAACTCGTATAAAGATAAACCAAAGATAATCGTATTAATTTAAAATGTTTTAAGCGGATGTGACTCACCATCGTCGCCGTCGTACTCGAAGGGAACCTTCCCTGGTTTTCGCCGGAAGTAGATACGACAACGTATCGACGACCGTAATGATAGCTATCGTTGCGGCAAAAAGACACCCCTTATATTGCATGCGAAAGAAGTATTTTGGCGAATTTGTCATGCGAAACGGAAGGGTGAATTCATAATTATTTCTACGAAAAAAGGGGTCTCGTCGTGTGTCAGACTACAAGGGGATCGAAAATCATTTAATTATACGAGTCATTATATACATATTTTACAACATTTATGGGAAAATGTTAACATTCTAACGTTATTGTTATTCCATCCCGGAACGACCTTTCCGTAGGGGCTCACAAGAAAATTTCTTGTAAAATGTAATTTTAACCCCCTCCCGAGCGTCAAGAAGCAAGTCACGAATTTCGAGGCAGGACTCCAGACACGTTCCCGCAGGATTTACTTTCGTAGGACAACTAACGGGGCTCTTCTCCCGATCTGGCCGCGACACGCTTCGGGAATACCGAAACGGCCTAATGGAAATATAGATGACGTTATAAAGAGTTGGGATCACATCTCGCCGGCGCCGTCCAATTAATTAGGGACTTATGGGACCCAAAAATCGGGGGCTTTACCCGAAGAGATCGAATTACCTACTAAAATTATCCTGTCAGGAACAGTTTTGCTTTTTGTATTTTGCAATCATGTTTAAGTGGTAGAAAATTAAAGCTTCTAGTCGTTCTATTCTTTAAAAAAATAGAGTCGTTTTTTTAAGGAATTTCATCAAAGAGGACGACAATTTTTCGTCAACGATCGAAAAAGCGAAGTCTCGTGTTTATTGAGTGTCAGAGTCTGCATATAATCAAGAGTCTAGGCACGTCCCGAAGACTGGTGCCATCTCTTGACGCGTCCCAGAGGTCGCCTGCGAGTATATGTGTGTGTGTGTGTCGTCCCACTCTTATTGGGAACTTTGGTCTACGGCGTTCGCCTAAACATTTTTCGCATTTTCGGCCCGACTTACGTATTCAGCGGAAAAGATATAACGAAATTGCTTCGGCTCCTCGCGTATTTTCTTATTTTACAACGTGCCCGGGAAGTAGAAGCGCTGTTAGACTGCAACGTCGGCCTCGTTTTCCCCCCTTTTCGTCCTCCTTAATCTATTTTGTATGTGCATGAGGTCTCTAATTTACAGATTACCAAAACATGACTCACATTCCTAACTAAAAACAGAAATTTTTCTATACAGATTTCTAGTCGGATTTATTTACTAGTTTGTATAGACTATTGGTATTATTATAATCATACATGGAGGAGACAATCCTACACACGATGGTGGCCCGAAAAAGAAAAAAAGTTCCTTTTTCGGGTGGAGCATTAGCGAAGTTGTCTTTGAAGACGTGAGAGACGCAGCTGCGCCATTTTTATCTCGTTACGAAGACGTCCCGGCTTCCTTGCGGGATGTCGACCGCGTCCAGCGGGAAGACGGGTGGGGCTTCGACGTTCTTTGAGCGTCGAACGTTCACAGACAACTAGATTATGTCTCGCAGGACGAACTACAAAAGGACGTGAGCGAAGGATGTCTGCTCCGGAGATGGTCCCTAGGTGTTTTATCTGAGGGTACTTTGAAGGTACTCGCCTTGGCTATTTAGACTGCTACTGCTACCGGTACTCTTTAAGTCTTCTTTGTACGTACTACTTTTATATACAGCATGATCTATATTTTTATGCAAAGTGAGAAACGAAATTCAAATTAAAAAGGGAAAGTCAAAATATATAAACAATTTTCCATTCTATTAAATTTATTCACAAATAAAAATTAATCACCTTTTGTACATAACAAATTGTGTAAGAACTTTTTGTCTTTTAAGATCAGATGGGGAGAAAGTTTGTTGAATTGCGAATGTCAAGGATAACAAAGATGAATAAGACATAGGCATACATATACAGAGTGGTTCATTTAACGTGAGACAAGCGATTATCTCGAAAACGCTGCGAATAAAGAAATAAAAGCAAANGTTCAATTGCGAATGTCAAGGATAACAAAGATGAATAAGACATAGGCATACATATACAGAGTGGTCCATTTAACGTGAGACAAGCGATTATCTCGAAAACGCTGCAAATAAAGAAATAAAAGCAAATAAAAGTTGTTCTGTGCGAAGGAAGAAACCATATGACGATAACATTTTTTAACTTTTACTTTATTTTCAAGGTCATATGAAGGTTACGACTAATTTTTTAAATGTGTGGTTTTGATTACAAAATTTTTTAAGATGTACAGAAAGTTTTAGTAGGAGGGATAATAAATGTATTGAAGTGGGTGGGGAAATATTTAAACATTTATTATAAATTTTATACTTGTTGTTGATTAACAGTATAGTTTAATCATTTTTTTAATAAGCAATATTTAAAACAATTTGAATAAAAAAATTATTTAGATTTTGTCTACAAAAGATGTTTCGCCGTCGTACTGGCAAAACCACACGGTAAATTTTTTTTTAGTAGTTATTTTACTTTTATCCATAGATTCAGATTTTGTAATCAAAACATAGGGTGCCATTTAAAAAATTGATCGAGACCTTCATATAACCTAGAAAATAAGGTCAAGGTCAAAAAACGTTATCGTCATATGGTTTCCCCCTTCGCACAGAACAACTTCAATTTGGTTCATTTTTATGTAAAATGAACCGTTTTCGAGATATTCGCTTGTCTCACGTTAAATTTACCACCCTGTATAATGTAAATATATTATATCAGCGTCAGTTAATTGTTCGAATCCTTCATCAATTTAATATTTTTGTAGCCATTCAATAATATTATCTTGGCCAACATCAACAAATAGGAAATTGATCAATGAATCAAGGCAAGTTTCTTCCGCATCTACGCCTTTCAACTTTCTTCGACCCTATACGTTGCACATTGTAAAAATCGCATCATTTACGTTGCATATTTTCAAAAATAATCCCCTTATCCCCCTATGATGTCACGCTCCAATGTTATAAGTATAGGGAAAGTGACCAACTTAAATCTGGGAGCCAATAAAGTAACTAGATTTAGGTTGGTATTGGAAAAGTAGCTAGACTCTGGTGATTTTTCTAGACCGGAAGATGAAACTTGAAATTTAAATTAAACTAAAACTAGAACTAACACTAGCACTATCACAAGAACTAACACTAGACCTAGAACTAAAATCTTTCGGGGTAAGCCGTGCGTTTTTTGAAAAAATTTTTGACGTTTCGGATGCCATGTTGCAACCTTCTTCAGAAACAAGTTCGAAGTGTCATTTTCACTGCAAGTGTCCATAACTTGGAAAACAACGTTTGAATAACACGTGGTTAATCCTCTGCAGAATCCTGTCCAATTGAAGAAATAAGTAATAAATAATCTAGAAAGAAAGTCCTGGCCTAAATAAATCAACGAGTGGTATTTCTATATTTTAAAATAAGGTCATGTATAAGGTGTAGGCAAAATTGTAAAAGGATAACGGTTTTGGCTGAAACATCTTCCTGTCTATCTAGACTATTGGCTCTGTTTTTCCTGACAAGGCCTGCCTCTGAAATATCTCCTGAGAAGTTGATTGCCAGCTCAGTCTCCCAATCGTTTTGGTGGTCTACCTGGTGATCTGGTTTCCGGTTATTTGTAGGTAAGCACAATTTACGCATGTTAATGTGGCAAAAATTTGTCACTGTTTTGCCAATCTCACAATCTCTAGAATCTCGCATTGGCCTCAGATGTCGGTCTTAATTCTATCACATCTGTTATCTATCCTGAGAGACTTCATTTTAGCTACTGTGGACATAATCAGTTTTGTGTCTTCACGTATTTCACTGCCGTCAGTCAACATTGGGCGAATAAAGGTCTTGTATATCCGCACTTTACTACTCATACGCATTATTATATTAGACCAATCAGTATCTCGTAGGTAACCTGAAATTGCAAACACTTTGTTGATCTTATAAGTACGCACGGCAAAACTCGAAAGTTTCTAGTTTTAGTTCCCAGTTTAGTTCAACTTTGTTGATCTGATTTTCTTGTCCTTGGCGGGGTCATGAGTGTAAGAAAGTGTAAGTAAGAAAATTCCATGAGTCTTATTTTTGCCAGCAAGTTTAGTACGCCTACCAATCGCATGCTGTCAAATGCTTTAGACAAATCAACAAAGAATATGCATGTCGGGAAATGTGTTCAACTTAATAGATTTTCCTTTTAGTTGTTTCA